CAAGGGACCACAAGGTAGCTTGCAAGTAAGCAGAAAGGCTTCTGGTTTTGCCCTTAGGTTGGCAGAGTCAACTGATCTCTATGTCAAAGGGCCTGCACCATCTTTCTTTTCATTAAGAAAAGTTAATCATCAGAATTACATGGTCAATTTTAAGAGACTGAAGACAATGTCCTATGTGCTTACAGTTATCTGGAAATATTACATGATCCTGGCCAGAACTCAGAATTTTCCATGTTAAAATAAGAAACTATAAAATGGGGATCAACTCATTATGGGTTTGGACAATACAATGAAACTTAATATAATGAGAAATATATTCACACATGCTGTATCTCAGGAAAAGAAAGCAATATAACAATGTAGTGTAATATTTAACAGACGTTGTCGCCTACTTTAGTTTTACAAGGTGGTGACTGAAGCAAATTATATTTAAAAGTAAATGGATACTAAACTTCAGTGATGTTTTGAGGAACAACAAAAACAAAACACAAAAGCATGCTATAAATGAAAGACATCTAATGAGTTCTCTGAACCAGAGCAGGATGAAGCACAAGGAAAAGTTCACAGAATACACAGGTTTCAGTGACGTTGTAGGAAATACCTCTTACCCTACTAACTTTTCCTCTCTGGAAAAAATAATACAGTAAGGTCTACCAAAAAAGCATTTACTACCTCCCATCAGCTATTTCACTTACATATTTGATTAAACACCTGAAAAGCAGGATAATCAATCTTCTAAATACATGCCTTTCAGATGTTACTATGATATGCTACTTCCAAAGTAAAAACTATCTTCTGGAATGTCATAAGCCAGTTGTGGTATATCCAGTGCTCTGTAATACAGACCGTGTCAAAGAGACCACACCGATGCATACTGACATTTATTAAGAGAGAACACATAGCATGTGCATCATATTCATATTAAGCTGGACAATCATATGTAAGTCTTGCAATTTGTTAATAACATCACCCAGTGAGAAGATCATGCTCCAACCTTGGAGAGAGCTTTGCTGCTACAAATACTCCTCCTTGACAGGGCATGTCAGAAATGTCATAGACAAAGTCTGTCCTCCTGGCATGGCATTGAGACCAAATAGCTATGAACACTCATGATACTGTTCAATCCAACCAACACATTAGCAAAACCAAGATTAAAAACAGTAAGTGGTACTGAACCACACAAACCCTTTGGGAAATAAACACTGAATATATTTATTCTCACCTCCATGCACCATCAAAGCCAGCATATGAAATGTGGTAAAAAATTAAATCAAATGATCCTCTAGTATATGTTTTGGAGCAGCTGTCTCCCCAGTGCCCTCTTCTCTTAGTTGGAAAATCATTAGCACACAAGCCAGAAGTCTTTACCTTGTTGGTGGAAGATGTTTTCTCCAGAGCTTTTGCATTTTCTGACTTGCTGTTCTTTTCTGAGGAATCTTTAGTTTCCACAGATGGTTTCCGGGGCTTTTCAAATATGTTGATCCCCAGAATTTGTGCTACTTTGTCAAGCTCAGACTGCTTCTTGTCAGCTGCATCAGATTCTTTATGCAGCTCTGAAATCTCCTTCATAATATTCTCTTGTAGTCTGTTCACCTCAACCAATAAGGGGTCTTTGTGTCCATCCTTCTCACGACGTTTTTTCCTCAACATCTCTCCTGAGCCAATCAAAGAAGCAGAAGAGTTGGAAATACAGCAGGAAAATTGTCTTAAGACCTATACCTACACCAGCAACATGTAAAATACTAATATAAAATATTACAGCTAAATCTTGACTGAAAATTGTAAAGATGGAACTGACTCTTGGATACAGCATCACTAAATCTGCATGATCCACCTCTATAAGCATTGCCTTAACACACTCCCCTAACAGAAGCACAATAATTCTCGAGAATCAATTTAATAATCACTATTTCCCTGTGTGACCAAGCACTTTCTAACCTAAAAGTACCATTTTTCAAAGGCAAGGGTAACTAGCATTTTATTGGACCAGCCAAAAGTTTAAAAAATAAACCATTAGCTTGGTCTAGAGAGGATTTTTCCCTCTCCAGATAAGATTCACAAAAAATTTGAAAAGCATGATGACATGTATTCAGTTACTATTTCTCAGTTCTTCTAAAGAAGCACTATAACACACAAAGTGCATTTTATTTAACTTACCAAGCTACCGAAGAAGATTTAAGAGCAACTGTTTGATCCAGTGTAACAGCCAAATTTTTATTTAATAATTTAAATATAGTAATTAGGTCACTGCTTTCTCAAGACCTCTACATTGCCTGAAGTATGAAAATATTAGTTTTAAACTACAGTTTATTATTATTATGGTCTTCACTTCTCCTAGCAGGTACTAGAACCAGTGACACACTCCAGTGGAAAATAAAAAGCAGGGGGTGGAGGGATGCATTGTACCTTGCTGTTTACGAAGCCTGTCCAGTTCAGTCTTGAGATAGTAAAGCTTTTTCTGCCGTGCTTCTCGTTCATTCTTCAGTTTTTCTCTCTCTTCTATGACCTAAACAGATTGGAAGGGGACTGGATTTTCTCCTCTTCCCAACACAAGTTAATTAATCAGTCTTGCAAGGATAAACAGCAAGACCTTGGTTTGCCAGTCACAGAACACTGCTGACTATTCTCAAAATGTTCTTGAGTATTTTAACACAACAAATATACCTTTTCCGCTGCAGGTAACTGTATCATGCGCTCGCACTTCAATCCTACATGAAGGCCATTTTTTTCTTTTGTGCAGTGTATTCCCCAAAACTGCTTTCCTTGTTGCCCCGTCTCCCAGGACACTCAGGCTTAGCTATCTTCTACGGGGGTGAGCAAGATCAATGCTAAATGGCTCTTCAAAACTCATGCAGTATTTCTATAGCTAGCATGTTTCATCAGTGACAAAAGACTTTACAGCCCCTGACCTTGCCTCCTGCTTTGACTCAGGCCAATTTTAGCTATTATTCAGGCTTCTGCTTCAATCTGATCATAACTGTAGCACCAAATATATTTTGCAGGCATAACTGTCTGAAATTAAACACCCGGATGAAGTTTGTTTCTTGGTCAGTAAGATAAACTGGCATGAGGAGCTCACAATCTGCTTTTTGCTGGTTTTCATTGATTCTCACAAAAGGAAACCAAACAGTATGCTAAAATGTAACTTGCAGAGTTACTTGCATTTCCTTCCTAGCTTCATTTTCCAGGAGAGAAATCCCAGTTTTTTTACCTTCAGAATACTCTTAAAGCTTCTGACTATTTCTTAAAAAAAAAACAACTGACCTAAAGCCTTGTGCTTCCTAAAGAATCACTACTACCATGGCAATGTAAGTATTGGCAGGATCCCTAGTTCTTGCCTGGAGTAAGTCCTGGAAGGAGTTCTACCAACGTTAGGCCATGTCTTACAAACCACAAGTTTTTTATCATCTAAGCACCATTCTCTCATTCTGAGTTTTCTGCCAGCATAGGGGCACCAAGTGTAGTGTTTAAGTTTTTATATTTCAACCATCCCAGCAAAAAAACAGTGGACTGAGCCCAAGCCAAAGAAGTCTGTAGCCCTAAAAGTTCTGCTAAGATGCATAGGTGAGCTACCAGGCTATGTCATGGCCAGAGAAAACCATACACCTTCAACCAACAGAGCTCTTCCAGAACTGCCAAGCTTCATTAACAACAAAACCCCTACTGTATCAGCTGAAGAAATTGCTATTCCTGCAAGCAGTGAAAGTTCACTTATCTGCTGGTGTAGCCATTTATGTAAGTACTCCTCTTATGTCACTTCAAACAAAAAGGAGAGAGGTTATCACAGACTGAAAATTTAAAGTGACTTCTTTTGAGCGTTTCTTGGATTCAGTGGTCCATCTTTCCATGGCCTGATTTGTTCTAAGGAGTGTGATATAAGTGAGTAGGCAAAAAGCTTCCAGCCTCTGCCATGTGCTGCTCTTCTACTAGCAGATCTTCCAAGACAATATATTATTAGAACAGCTATACTGGAAGAATGTCTCTAATGCAGATACAGATACATAGACGAAAAATTACATACGAGCCAGCAACTTGCACTTGCAGCTCAGAAAGCAAATTGTATCCTGGGGTGCACAAAAACCATGGCCAGCAGGTCAAGGGAGGTGATTCTCCCCTATACTCCATTTTTCTGTCCCTACCTGGAGTACTGCATTTGCCCCCAGGGCCCCCAGAAGAAGAAAGACAATGACCTGTTGGAGCCATGAAAATTATTAGAGGTCTGGGACACCTCCCCTGTGAAGAGAGGCTGGAGAGAGTTTGGGTTGTTCAGCCTGGAAAGACCTTATTGTGGCCTTTTTATATATTAAGGGGGACTATAAGAAAGTTGAAGAGAGACTTTTTACCAACTCCTGTAGTGACAGGACAAGGGGCAACAGTAAGAAAGAAATCTGTTATGATGTGGGTGGTGAGACACTGGAATAGGCTGCCCAGAGAAGCTGTAGATGCCCCATACTTGGCAGTGCTCAAGTCCAGGTTGGATGGGGCTTTGAGCAACCACATCTACCAGAAGGTGGCTCTGCTCACAGTGAGTGGGAGCTAGATGATCATTAAATGTCCCTTCCAACCCAAACCACTCTATGGTTCTGCACCCTTATTTTAACAACAAAGATTGAGTGGACACCAGTTTGAAAACCCAAACATATTTAAGGAATCTTCTAGTCCTTTGTCAGTTATGTAACTGCAGTTTCCTATTTTAGAATATGTTCCTCCCCACTCCTCCCTAATTATCAAACAAATCAAGGTAACTAGAAGAGGAAAACATGAACATCCATAACATAAACTGGTGTCAGACGCACCAAGTAAGGAGTAGTTTCCGTTAAGTTCTTTTGATGTTGTGATTCTTATAATAGATAATGAATACAAATATAAAGGGAAAATTGTATGCAACTGTGAATCCTTTAGTATTTAAGACTGTCTAACATAGGTATAACCATGGTATTATTGTACCATGTTCAGATGGAGCCTTCTGTGTCTCAGCTTGTGCCCACTGCCTCTTGTCTTGCCACTGAACACAACTGAAAAAAGCCCAGCTCCATCTTTGTTATACAGTCCCTCCAGGTATTTATATATCTAGATATCTTCAAGTATTTAAATATTTAAAATTTCAGTGAAATAAAGCCAAGCCATGGCCACCATGTGTAATATTCTGGCTGGCCCCAAAAACTTCAACTTCATGCTTGATTTCAGCTGTTCAGACATAACCTACATGTATGTATCTTGGGGGGATTTTAAATGCATTTTTTTTAATTGTCACAGAGTGATACAGACAAATTATTTAAAAATTTTAACAAAAGCAAATTTAGTCCAACTGCATTATACTGGAAACATCCATAGAAAAAAAAAAAAGGCACACCTGAAGAACAAAAGCTTTTATCCCAGCAGTCAAGCAGTTCAACACATTTTGATGTACTAGAATAGATAACATACCTTCTGCTTTTGAGCTGCCCGATTTTTTTCATCTGACATCTTTTCTGTGGTATTTTTGAGTGGGTGTGAAGGCAGACGAAGGGGTGCCTTGGGATGAGCAGGAGTGGTAGGGACATGAACAAGTACAGAAGCATCTCTTTTTAAGTCAGGGACATCTTTTCCCATAGATACTGTCTCAATCACCCGGAGGTTGGGACGTGTGGGGTTTGCTGACATGGCCATAGTAATAAGGCCATGAGCTTCTGGCAGTGTAGGATTAGGCTGCTGTGCAGGGGGGTACATGGTCCAGCCAGGGGCTGCATATGCCATATAGTGCCCATATGCATCATACCCTGGAGGAGCCATTGTAGGAGGTGGATAGTTTGGGGGCATTTGAGTGGCAGCGAACTGGGAGTAGTTGGGAATTCGGTATTGCGAAACTGAAGTAGGTGTAGGCGGCAAACTAGCAGGAGCTGGTGGAACTGAGGGGATAAGAGTGACAGAAGGAATAGGCTGTTCTGGTACACGTGGAGGTATCTCCTGTCCCACTGGCTTGTTCTTAATATATTCTGATTTCTGAAGCAAGGATGGATCTTTAGAGTGCTGGAAAGAACCTGGAGGTGATGTTGAGCGCTGCTGGCCCGACTCAGGAGAACGAGTATCACTCCGGCTACGACGCAAGTCCCAAGGGTCCAGTCTGCGAGGATCCGAAGAGCGACGATCAGGAGAACGAGATGCCAACTTTTTGCCATGAAGGCGTTCCTGCGTACGAACTGCCAGTTTCCCAATTTCAGCAACACCAATGTCAAGTCCAATGGTTTTGAGTAAGTCATGGATTTTCGCATACTCAGCATTAGACTCTTCTAAAGGATCCACCTTGACAGGTGGAGCAGGAGAAGGAGGTGGGCTCACTTTCTGACTTACTATCTCATTGCCACAACTCACTGGGGGCTTCTGAATGGGGAGAGTTTCAGTTTTGTTATCTTCATCCTCATCACCATAAAGAAATTTCTCTTCATCCTCAATGTCAGGAAAACTACGCCTCCGCTTCTCCTGAGCACTGACAGAATCAGCCATCATGCCCAGAATTCGGGAGAAACCACTGCCATCCTGACTGGCCCTCTCATGAGGTAGCAAGAAGTCAGTATGGCGATCAGCAGGCTCTGCCTTGAGTTCTACCTTTTCCTTATGACTTAAGAAGCTTCCAAACTTCTCTTCAGACATAAAAGTGTCTTTGGGAGCTCCAGAAAGCGAGCTCCACTCATATAAACCATCACGCAAGTCCTTGTTTGCAGACTCCACAACAGAGTCTTTGTTAAACCGTTTGAGAAAGTTCTCCACTTCAGAAGCAAAAGGAGCTGTGTTGTTGCTCTGGGGCAAAGATGAATTACTAGAAAGAAGAGGAAGATCCTTGCTGGGAGCCGGACTGCTTGAAAAGCCCTCAGGCTGAAAAAGAGAGAAGTCACTATTTTTACTACAGCACCTTCTGAGGGGACTATGCATCTCACAGAACAAACAAAGGAATATATTAATTTCTCCTTGAGTTCACAGCTGAAGAGTTAGAAAAGACAATTCATAGTTGAAAGAGAACACAGAAAATTTCAAAACAAGTTGCCTAATAAGTCTGAAACGTCATATCCAGCAGTGAATGCTTATCTCAGAGAATACGCAAAAATCACAATTATATTTCATTAATTGTTGGCATGCATAAGAACTGAAACTTTCAAATTGAAGCTCCATAATGTAAATTTGGCTACACTTTGAGTTTAATCACAGACAAACAGGACTTCAACACATTAAGACAGGTAAAAACAAGGTTATTCACTGAGGTTATTCAGATATGCATGATTAAAGCCATGTTAAATAGGATTTCCATTAACAGGTATAAAATGGGATCCTCAGTATTGAAGAACTTCCTGAGATAAACATGTCACTGTCAAACCAACACTGATCAGCACAACTGGGAGATCAAAAGTGATGTGCTAAAACATGAGAAAAGTCAACTTATCACAGTGGTTGCAATTGCTTATCTTTCCAATGCTCTAGTTTTGAGACTAAATTGGTATAGCTTGAGTACAAATTAAGTAGGGTTGACTCCAGCCTACAATCCAAAGGGAAATAAATAAGGAAACTCATAGATATTTTGAGCCAGAAGTATTAAGGGTGCATTAGGCAGTTCTCTAAGTCTATACAGAAAGAAGAAAGAGGTACTGTGACTGGCAGAGAGCTTCAATCAATGTCCTGACTGCCTGTGGTACAAAAAGATCCAGCTTTTCTATAAGAGCTCTCAGCATCCTGGGCTGAATTTCAACACAAACTTTTATTCTGCCTTTGATTTTTATATATATATATGATTCTGGATTAGATGCCTTCACTGTTTAAAGTTTCCAATGTAATCCTAGCTTGTAGAGGCCTGCAAAAAGATACCTGTTCTCTCAAAGAAAGGAAAATGTAAAGATTTGGCTCTTCTTTTTTGGAAAACAAACTAACATTCCGTATCATTAAGTCACTGTTTTGGAAAGTACAAACATCTAGACAGTTGGAGAGAGATCAAACCTGAATAGGAGACTCTACTTCCATCTCCACTCGTTTCTTCAAAATAGACTTTTTGGGCATGGATGGGATTTCCTCAGGCCTATATGTATACCGAGGCTCAGAAGTCTGCAGTGTGTTAGTCAAGCCAGGGATCACATAACCACTGCCTGAAACATCATGATTCAAGTTTCTACTACGCTCTTCTTCTTCTCTTTTCCTCCTTGCACGGTCAAGTTCTTGGAATTCTTCATTCAGGTATGATGGACTTGGGCTTCTACTGCGGCTGTGGCTTCGTCTGCGATAGTTTCGTGTTCCTAGTGAGAAACCTTGGTGCTCTCCACTCACGCCATGCACCTTCTCATCCTTTTCATACCGTGGACGCTTTATTTCTCGTCCCCTCTCTTCTGGCCTCAACGGGTAAGAGGATTTCCTGAGTTTGTCACCATCTCTGTCAGATCCACGAGGCAGCTCTTCTCGACGACCATAATGCGGACTGTAGTCTGAACGATGGAGGAAAACATCTCGGTTGCGGTAGTCTTCATCATGTCTCATGATAAAGGGACTTGATGGTTGATCTTCATGTGAAGGGTATCTCTCAAGGCCTCGGGGACATGAGAGGCCTCTAGTGAATATTGGACCATCAGCCATATCATCCCTGTGTAAGAGACATATAGAATAAACGTAAGTACTTGAGTCAGAGTAAACACAATCTTCCTTCTATTCAAGAGTAAGAAATTTCCACATCAGTTCCAGAATAGCATCTCCATCACTAATCAGAAACAACATTTTATGTCCTTAAAGGGCAAAGGAGAGGGAAAGACTTATTTTTAATGGTGACTTATTTTTAATGGTACTATACATGCCTCCTAGGAAGTCAGCAGCAAACACAGTGACATGAACAATTCAATTCATACTGAAGGAGAGCCTTGAAAAATTGATAGGATGGATTTATTTCTGTGAAGGAGAAAGACTACACGTTTTTAAAAAAAAATTACTATCATATTTCAGGTCACAAACTTTTTCCTCATCTCTCTCAGCCAGATGCCAAGGTCGCATTTCATATGAATTATTCAAGGTATAATTAAGTTTCACACTGCCAAATGCAATCAGATCCTCCTTTTCTCTTCAGCTGTGGACAAGGTCCACAAATTCCAGAGCATCACTTTCTGTTGCAACAGATCTGTAGGCAGGAATGTCACTAATGAGAAGAACTACTATACCCAAAAAAGCATCATTTTTTATAAAGTATCTATGAACCAGGGATAGTACACATAATGTATCATTCCTTAGTGCCAGCCTCTGCATTATTACATAAAGCGGATGTGCAGTTGAAAAACACCAGAATAGCTACATCTCTTGGAGTATATTATTTCGGACTGATTCCTATAGACACCTACAATTAGGAGTACCATTTTAATTAAGGCCTTTTCCCTCACTACTAAAAACTCTTCTGCGACCGCTCTTTAGGTCAGGCAGAAACAAACCTAACCAGCTGCTGTTTCCACTCACATATATTTTAAAAAATTTATCAAGATCCTAAACTAATGGGAAGCAAATGCACTCCTTAAGTGAAATCAGTGGAATATAAAACCTAGAGAAACGTCTTGCACCCAAGTGATCAAGATACCAACTTGAGATAAACTACATACAATTGCCTGAATCCTCAAAAATCAATCCCACCTGTCAGAAAAGTTCCTCCATACATCTGAGAAGGGACAAACAGAGTGATGCTAGATAACATAATTTTAAAAATTTGCAGATAAATTGCATCTCCAGTTTTAAAGTCACCAGACTGAAGAATAAGAAACAGAAACAGACAAGGTCTTTTTCTTCAGTATGTTCATAGTTTACACATCCATATTTAGGAACAAAACCAACAAAAAACCTTCACTGTATCTCTAAGCAGCAGCACTGCAAAGCATTTAATATATTATTAGATGCTTCAGCAGTTCACAGTACCCACAGTACTAGATGGTAACTTTCTAGTTTCCAGCAAATTATGCACATCCACCCTCTCCAAAAAGCCTCCAAATATGTAAAAAATAGCTAAAATTAAATTAAATTAATTAAATTTCATAGATAAATGTTCCTGTTCACAGCCTACACAAGGGTATGTCTATTCCTAGTGTCACCTTTTCCAACAGCCTGCTAAACCCAAACATTGAATTAACACAACTGGTGGAGTAACAGATGTATTTCACCATACATCTCCAGCTGATTTATGTGCAAATAATTTGCAAGTATGCTTGCCAGGTGTTATCTACAATTCAAATGCTCTGATTGCAGTGACAAAGCAAAAGGGGTATCTAATCATACTTCTAAAAGAAAGGAACAGCAAATGTACTATACTTATGTCCTGGTTTGAGCCAGGATGAAGCCAATTTTTCTTTTTACTGATTTTTTTTTTTCCCTTCAGTAAGCTTTCTTGTAACTAGCAACAGTGTGTTCTGCTAGGCTGATAAGACAGTGGAATGTTTTTCTAACTACTGAGGCTTCAAGGCTGCACCTGCACTCTGCCGGCTCAGACACTATGGGGAGATCTGTGACCCCCCCCAGGAGGCTGAGTTAGATGGACAGCAAAATTGGCCAAAGATATTCCATTCCATATATCTACGTAAACTCAGAGGAAGGTCAGAGATCACAGAAGACAACTTCCTTCCTTCTTTTTCTCCCCTTCTCTTCCGTCCATGGCCGGTGTCCAGGGAGGACTCTGTTCATCCATCACCGTCGATCCTCAGGCTTGATCTCTCGTGACCCCCATAACTCTCTGCTTTCTCCAGCAGCAGCTCTGGGATTCCTCGGGACTCTTCCCAGCTCAGGGAAGTGCTGTGGGAGTTGCTGGGGGTGGGGGGAGGCGAGAGGCTTTTGCTCATAACTGAATATATCTGTATATAATTGTATATATTTTCTTGTATGATTCATTAGTGTTTTAATTAAAGCTGTGTAGTTTAGTTTTCAATCCAGCCAAGTCTCTCTCTTTTTCTCTCTCTCCTTCCCTACCTGGGTGGGAGGGGGAGGGGATCGAGAGCATTGTTGTCGGACCCAAGTCAAACGGTGATAACTTACAACTAGAAAGATATTCCAAATACACTCTGAACAGCTAAGATGCAGATTTAAAACCCAAAGATTAAATCCAGGTGTTAGGAAAAGGATTGCCTGCCTCACAGAAACTGTGACTCTTTGAAATATGTTTTCTGTAAATACAGTCCAACTGAGATATGTCCCTCTTAACTGGTTTGGGTATTTTTAGTTAGCAATGTGTGTTACAGGGTATTGCACTAACATATACAACATGGTACAACTGTGACTATCCCAACTCTTTCACCAACAGAAAATCTGTGAATTACTGGACTTTGCAGCTTCAGAGAAGCAGAACAGATCACAGACTATATAGATCTGATGCCTCAGAGAACTCTAACTTCTGCAAGGTAGGTTTACTTCTGCAAGGTAGGTTTACTTTTTTGGCACATTTGTTCACATATACAGAAACAAAAAATGGCATTCTGTTGTCAGCAACCAACAGGACTCCATCTTAACAGTCAGATAGGAATAGGAAGCCAGATGAGCTGCTTATATTCAAGCCAAATGTCACTCTTGCTGTTGTGCCAAAAAATGCTATTTCAGAGCGCAGCTTAGCAGAGACCAAGTCTCTGCAGTGATACGGTCAAATTTTTTGGGTTAGCCTAAGATGAAATGATTGGTGGGATGTTCTTTATAGCTCGGACCAGCTCAGGTAGCAGTAGAATGTCTTAAAAATGCTGACAGGGGGAGAGATGGAAGACAGAAAGAGGACTAAGCTATATTCTTCACTTTGACGGACTGAGGGGACCAAAAAAATACTCATCTGTTGAAGCAGAAGTCTGAAGTTACTGAAGTGACCTTGAAGTCACAAGCCAGCAGTATTCAGTAAGATTACTTAGATATGTGAAGGACACCAGCTGCCCTAGAAGCTCAGGGCAGGTTCTTACATGGACACACACCCTGAGAAATTCTCCTAGGGCATCCTGAACGTCCACTGCTGCAGAAGAATCCAAAAGCATCCCTAATTTACATCCTTTGGTATTTTACTTCCTTTATAGGCTAATGAACCTCTCTACCATCCCAAGGCCTTATAAATTACATAGAATAATTTGTTAAAGTGATTGCTTGAAATCTTTGAGTAGTCAGCCAAAAATAGCTGAGAATAACTAAATTCAGAATTATTTGCTCCAATTCAAAATTTGAAGAGACATCTTCACAAAACACTATTTTTTGCCTTCTTTTTTTTCTTAAATGAGAATGAGAACATACCACATGCCAAACGAGACTGTGATATGCCCAGTATTAAATCCAATGATGATTCACAGTAACAGCTACTTTAAAGCCCTGTGACGTTGTGCAGCCAGCACAAACAGACTGGACAAAAAAAACAACCAATCTCCACTACAAATATATAGAAAGTCACTTATACACTGAGGATTGCAAGGTCCCACTTTCTCTTACTCTCATTCTGATTCATCTATCACTTTCATACCTTCTCAGGAGTGTATTCTGACCATTTTTTTTACATGTATGGGTCCTGTAACAGCTATAAAGTGAAAGTTCTTCATCATCTTCACTCTTATGTTTAAATGAACTCCATTGTACCTGATGCTACTACTTCCAACCACGCATCATAATGACAAAACAGGTTAAATATTAAGACTTCACTGGAGAAAAGTAAGCAATGGGACAAGCACACCCCCCCATCATGGATGAAATGCTTTGACATTATTATGATTTATCAGCAATTCAAAATTTATTAATGGTGTGAGGCAGATCAAAAGGTTGAGTTTTAGCAGCACTTCATGATTAATCAATTTAAAGATTAACAAGTGATTCAGTAGAATATATTATAATCCAAGCCCTGGCAGACAGTCTTTGAAGAGGTTATAACTGAAAAGTGTCCACCTCAGGGGAGATTCTGGTCCCAGCCTGCTGCGATTCAGGAGAGCTCAAAGGGTCTTTCTTGGAATCACTACTTATAGGGTCTGAGATAATTGACTTTTGCCAGGTACTTTTTCATTTCAGCCCAACTTGAATTACTAAATATTCCAGTACTTTCTGCCAGTTGCACAGGCCCGGAACTTGCTAGATTTTGAAGTTCTGGTATCCAAGTACAGCTGTACTAGGCTGTCAGGAGGTGACTGCCACTTCTGTTCACGGTTGATGAGGGAACAGGTACCAGGTGCACCAAGGGGGTGTCTTAATGCTCTGGTCCCCTGTTTAGGATCAAGATACAGATGCACTAGATTGTCAGGAGGCAAGAGACTGTCATTATTGTCCCCAAAGAGTAGGGGAAGCAGGAGCCAGATACATTAAGGGGATGATGCCTTTATGCTTTGGTACACTGCCTTTCACAATCCATACCTGCCTTATCCTAGGTTGGTGTGTGGCCCAGGGAATGGGAATCGCACCAAGTACCGAGTGGTTGTATCACCACACCCCCCCACGCCTGCATGTTCTTAATTTGTCAGAGCAGTGCCAGTTCTCCTACATACCATTTCCTGCCTCTTCCAACCACAGTACTCTCCCTGGGCATATGCACTCATTTCATTCAGAAGCCTGCAGACTGCACAGGGGATTTACAAATCGAACACTGATCCTGTGAGAACTGAGGTAAAAGCATAAAAGTGACAGTAACAAGAACTAAACTTTCATTTGGTTTTCCACACCTGCTGAAACTTAACTTTACACTTGAGAAAGACAGGAAATTCATGCCTCAGAGAAACTTCCCTTTTTTTTTTTCCTTTGTTTTTTTTTTCTTTTTTTTTTTCAGACAGTTGGGGATATTTGCATAAAAAAATGAAGTTACAGTGCTTTTTCCTGTGCTAAATTATTATCTGTGACCTGAAACTGCAATTCTCTGCTCTGGGGCACAAACTACGCCACCTTTAACTTTGCAGTTCAAGAAAAATAAAAATATTTTATTGGGATTGAGTCTTCTGACTTTACTTCTCTTTTCACATTACACCTGTTCTCCTACTGAAGGAAAAGATTTCCAAACAGTGTCTACTAATATTTATACTTCACTCTACACAGCAGTATTTTTTAACATAAAAGACGTCTCTTCATTAACTATGTTTCTCTCCAATTAGAGTCAAGGAACCTTAAGAATTCCAACACATATTTTATCATGCATGAGACCATCAGACTACGTTCACCTCTCTTCTGCAGGGCTTTTAAAGTCAAAAGAATAAACTATCTTCAAACTACACTTGACCTTTCTTTTGGACTGTTCTAAAAAATCAGATTATTCCTCTCATAAATGAGAAAGCTGAAGCTTTACGCTATCCATAAGCAACTTTCTTTTGAGTCAGGACTAGGTAGGTTCATAAGAAACAGAAGAATGTGGCTGAAGCTGTGAAATGTCAAATGAAGCAGCTCCCTCCTGCAATACACTCTGGGCACTTTTAGTTTATATGCATTTCTGAGGCAGCTGAAAAAAATCAGAGACGAAATACTTGTTTAGAGTTACTATGAACACAGGCAGCAATTTTTGTTCTGGAATCTCCTGCACCACAACTTGCTGAAGGCTGGGGGAGTATTCCAGGGAAGCATCACTACATGCTTGCCCTCTTACCCGCATTCCTTAGGTATTCACTGGGTTAATTAAATGTTTGGTCTCACACAGTACAGCCATTCCCACGTTCTTGCTGTTTCACACACTTGAATCCCCATCTGTGGAGGACCATACCTGTCACTCAGGTTATCAATTGGTGAGCCCAGTCTATCAGGCAGCCTCCTTCGCTCTGGTGTGCCAATGCAATACCGGTCATTACCAACCGTAATCCGCAAACTCTGTTCCAGTGAAGACTCAGAGCGGAGACTCGGTGAACGTCTCTGTAAATTGAAGAAAGAGTGCAAGCCCATCAATCAGGGAATTTTAATCTCAGCTACAGAAAGGCAAGTGACTCTGCTCTGCTTAACATGTAACACTTGGGGTGGATGGATCAATTAAAAAAAAAAAATCAGACTAGGTAAACAGTTGTTCCAAATATTTCAATTGTCTTTAAGTTACTAGAGAAAGGGGAGGGTACTGACTGAATTTCATTTCTCATCCCAGCTGTCAATAACATGCTCTATATTTACATATCTAGAAGGGAAATTTTAATCTCAAAAACACATTTCATAAAGCACCATTGTGGAAGGTGGAAAAACAGAGAGAAGTTCAATAAGTTCCAGACTTGCTGCTGTCCTCCTTTCTTTGTAAAGGAGAAGCAGCTAAGTAAACACTGCATTAAAAACAGTGCCAGGAATTTCTTAATCAAAGTTTCTGGATTTCTGGCCCTTTCCAGCTTTAGTAATGACATGAAGCAAAGTGTAAACCAGTGTAAACAAAGATTCCCCTAGCAGTGATGTTTTTCACCATTTTCCTCACCTCTGCTTTCAGCAGGTAAGTGCAGTGTATTACTAAAACTGCCAGTGACTAGAGAAACAGCTTCTATAACAGAATTCCCATTATCATTACTTATTATTGGTAAAGCCAAACCAGAGCTAAGTAAAGTTGGTTTTGAAAAACCACAGCAGAGAAAGCCTGAGCTAACTGCCTCTCCACAGACCTTCCTTTAGACACATACTCAACACAGTAAAAATCATTACTGGTAAATTATGCTTATGCCTCACATCATTCTAGAATATGGCACTAGGATACAGGAATGATGAAAGGGGAGTTCCATAAGAAACAGATGAGACTGCCTGAAGACAGAGATACTTGATTTACTTTTTTAAATCACCATGGTTTAAATTCTGAGTAACAGGAAGCAATGAATAGCTTCAGTTCTGCCAAACCAGTCATGCACTGCACATTGCTTTTCACCACTGAAAACTGCAGTAGCCAGTAACAGGTGAACTATGTTGTCTGCATCCACCCTAAGAGGATGCAGCAGATACCGCAGCTCAATCCTCCAAGAGACCAAAAGAACAGTACATAATCTCCAACACAAAAGCAAAATAATTCCCTCACAAACTTGCCTGGAAAAAAAAATTATTTTCAGTACAAATCTGTACTGGGAACAATTGTGCTTATAACCCCCTTCTAAAGTAACATATTAGTGATTTCTATTTTGCTCCATCCATCTGAATCTCAGCATCTATCAGAATACATTTTAATTACTTTCTCTGACCACCTGTGTTCCGTAACACAGTATGATCCTACAATAGCTTGACTGAGATACAACACACAGAAGGTACATGTGTTTAAGCCAAATATTGAGACTGTTGGCAAGTTGGGCACTTATGTGACAACCATCTCCAGGAATCACAAAGAAGTGATTATTACACCTCATCAGAACAAACTTCTGGGCACAGGAAAAAAAAAAAAAAAGTTTACATTTAGAAAGTTTGGGATGTCAGGATTGCCTATGGATGCCATGCAGATTACCCAAAGGCAGTAGTTATGGTGGTACAAATCTGAATTTTGCAATTTTTTTTTTTCAGTTCAAGAAATTCCAGTTTAAACAGCTTGTTTATTTGGAGCACTGAATACCACTAGTCTTTCCTATGTATGCACTCCATCTTCCTCGCTTTCTGTTCTGGTGCCTAAACCATACCTACCATTGCCATATAAATGTACAGGTTACATACCAGATCTTTGATTTTTCTTTCTCTGTTGACCTAATATATCCCGTCCTCTAATTTCAGCCCATTTTCTTGCAAGAAAGAAAAGAAGCTGAGAGGAACTATAAAAAGAATAGGCATGCAGATCAGCAGGGACAAATAAAAGCATCCTGTGTCAGCCCTGGAAGAACAAACGAACCCCACAAAAATCTCTCATTCCACAGCCTTGAGGTTCCTTTCCTCCATTACCTTTTTCAATACTCACCCTAAATATCTGCTGTCACTCCATGCTATTCCAATTTCCACAAAGTTTTTCTCAGCTACTAAGAAACTAACACCATCTGTACTTACAATGTCCAACACACAGTTCCACTGACAGTCAACATCCCAGTTATGTATGAGAAAGTGGGCAACAATGCTGATAACCTGGGAATCTATGCACACTATCTCAAAACAAAACAAAAAGAAAAAATAAACACCCTAACAAAACAGAACAATTCCCAGAATCACAAAAAGGGAATAAGAAATCTCTAAGGTTGCTTCTTCCACACTCCTATTCATATGAAGAGTAAGGACAATAACTTAGAGCTTGTACTCAAAACTTTTCTGCATTTCAACCCCATGTCCTTACCCCATCCATGTCTTCATTACACATCCTATATGCTCCACTCTTACACAAATATTTCTCTCTTCCAGGTCCTCCTTCCTTGTTGCAGCCTAAATTCCTCTTCCTCAGTCTGAATTAATCTCCTTTTGGTGGCAGCTCCAAAATGTCACTTACTAACACATTTGTGTAACTCTCCACATTTCCACCCTGTATATCCTCAAACTTCTGCAGAGGGACACCTGCATATCTGCTGTCTGCTTTGTTTTGATCACACTTAGTTCCACTGTTTGGAAAACATCAGCATAATCCCAGCTTTCCTCTTTCTCTGATTAATGCAAATTTTGTAAACAGGACTTCTAAAAAGCAAAATTAACTCGCATATACATTTTATGCTTTATAAAGATCACTTTTAAAGAAGTAGTGTTCATCAAACACCTTTCGGAGATCAAAAACTTCCATGAAAAAATGTGCACAATATACACCTTAAGAATTACTTACACTGGTCTTTAGCACATCCAAGAGGCAGCACAATACACGTTAAAGAATTATATTTCCTCAAGATCCTTCTTATTGTGACAGCTACTTCCTACAGAAAGGTTTTCCTTAAATGCAATCAATATGCTTAGAAATAAACAAAAAAATCTATTTGGCTCAGCATTTCAGCACTAGCTAACTTCCTAAAACCTGATTTCTATGATTAATATTTTTTAAATCTCCTCTGAAATTAGAATGAGCAAGAAAAATACCTATAATCTACAAGAATTTGCTGTGGTGACTTCTGTAACTTCAGCCAGAAGAGTGCGAAGTAATACTGGAAGAACAGCATTTGTCAAGAATAATGTTTGTGTAAAGTGGGGGATTTGGTGTCTTTTTTTTTTCACCTAAAGGGAGAGTGGGAGGCTTCCAGTGAAAAACTCCTAGTTTAAATTTCTCCAAGTCTGAACCACCAACACATTCAGCATTGAAAGTTTTGTTACACCTGGCACAGGTTCACAGCCTGTCATGGATACAGTGAAATGGCAGGTTGAGTGATGATTAAGTCAGTTTAAGGAAGTTCTGCCCCTGTATCCCAGTTTGTCATTCCCTGGGTTTTGACCACGCAACTGTCCATCAAGCCACAACATAAACTGACAGCAATCAAAAGTTATCTCCTTTTAAAAAATTACTTCATTTCAACCTCGGTCTTATACACAATGCAATTAGCAGGGCTACCCAAAAAGCTACTTAGAGGATTGAGATAATGGTGAAATACAGCTTGAAAACAAATGGCCAGGGGCAGGCTTCTCAGCCTGTCTTGGTTTAACTGTCAAATACAACATCATCTTCCCATACCTTCAGGAAAGCTCACCTTTCAATAACAAATAGTACCAATAGCTGAATTTTAACTCAATCACCTATGATCTCTTCTACATGGCCATAGCTCCAAAGAAATCGGTAAGAACCTGTACCACCATCAGAAAGGGCAATCCCTGCTCTCTCTTGGGGTCCCGTCACACAATGGATCATAGCAGACAATACATTTGTGTTGGACTGACTTTCAGCCACATCGTTTTCTCATATCAGCTCACCCTGCAACTTCACAAATACAAGTGTGAGCACAAGGGAGAGGGAAGAATATACTGCAGAGAGAGAAAAAAAACAACTATGTACTGTTCTTTTTAATTGTACGTGTGCTGGATTGAGTGACCATGGAACCATGGCCTAAAATGTCCCAGTATGAAACTCTCTTATTTCAAGATAACAGATGCATAGTGAATCTACTACATACCACAGGCAATAGCTATCAGAGAAGACAATCACTGCATGGAAGAGTCACAAGCTAAGGGAGCAAATGCCACTTGCTAAAGAAAAAAAAACCACAACACCACCCCCAAAAAAAGCACAGCTATACACTCTGGTTTAGTATGAAGGAGACTCCATCCAAGATAGTATCACTTCAGATTGCAAACCAGTTTTACATGCCAAGTCAGATTTTGCCAAGACCGGGAGAGAAGACTGGAACACCTTATGCACAGCTCCAAATACAAAGCAGTGCCTATCAAAGAATACCTCTCAAAGATATAAATCTGTAACAGAGTCTCCTCTGTACACCCATCACAGTGGAAAGAACTCAGACAAAGTACTCATTCAGCACCCTATTAAAAAAAGTGACGGTCCCATAAATTAAACGATATTTACACCGTAACACAAACCAGTGTTAAACGGAGAAAACCCACTAGTTACATGCTTTGCCTTAGCAAAAGACAGCATCACCTTTGAGCCTTATCTAAAATGGCTCTACCCTAAAAAAAAAAAAAAAAAGAGGGAAAAAAATGCAATGGAAATTAAAGCGGAATCATCACTTACAGTGGAAATCAGTGATTTTATCTTTTTCGCCATTTGGCTCTCTTAAGGAACGGGGGAAACCGCTCTCCCCCCTCGGCAGAGGA